AAGAGTATTCAAATAGGCTTAAATCACTGTAAAGTGTATTGAAACTGAGGGGGCGTGGGTTCAAGCCCGAGAATGGGCAATTTTTTGTCTTTCTTTTTTTTTCTTTTTGACATTTTTTATTGTATGTGAGAAGTTAGCAGTGAACAGTGAGCTAAGCAAAAAGGCATTTCAATTTATATAGGGAAGTCAATGCTCTGCTGGAATGCTCAGCTGTTTTGGGCATCTAGCAGGGCATTCCTAAATATAGTGTAAAAATGCTCTGCTGGAATGCTAAGCTGGCTAGGCAATCTAGCAGGGCATTACTAAATATAGTGTAAAAATGCTCTGCTGGAACGCTCAGCTGGCTAGGCAATCTAGCTGGGCATTACTAAACATAGTGTAAAAATGCTCTGCTGGAATGCTCAGCTTGATAGGCAATCTAGCAGTGGATTACTAAATATAGTGTTAAAATACTCCACTGGAATGCTAAGCTGGCTAGGCAATCTAGCAGGGCATTACTTAATATAGTGAAAAAATGCTCTGCTGGAATGCTAAGCTGGCTAGGCAATCTAGCAGGGCATGACTAAATATAGTGTAAAAATGCTCTGCTGGAATGCTAAGCTGGCTAGGCAATCAAGCAGGGCATTACTAAATATAGTGTTAAAATGCTCTGCAGGAATGCTCAGTTGGCTAGGCACTATAGCAGAGCATTCCTTAATATAGTGAAAAAATGCTTTGGTGGAATGCTCAGCTGGCTAGGCAATCTAGCAGGGCATGACTAAATATAGTGTAAAAATGTTCTGCTGGAATGCTAAGCTGGCTAAGCAATCTAGCAGGGCATTCCTAAATATAGTGAAAAAATGCTTTGGTGGAATGCTCAGCTGGCATTCTAGCAGGGCATGACTAAATATAGTGTAAAAATGTTCTGCTGGAATGCTAAGCTGGCTAGGCAATCTAGCAGGGCATTCCTTAATATAGTGAAAAAATGCTCTGATGGAATGCTAAGCTGGCTAGGCAATCTAGCAGGGCATTACTAAATATAGTGTAAAAATGCTCTTCTAGAATGCTCAGCTGGCAGACTGATTCTGAGTTCCAAGATTTATTGTTGCCAACGTTTTATTGACATTTTCGACTTCTTGACACTTCTGAGGCACTCGCAGACTTTAAGGAATTCTTGGTGCCAATAGAAATAATGATATTTTTGACTTCTAAGGACCTTTAAGAGACTATTTCATTTACCTGCTGGACACTCGTAGACTTTCAGGAATTTTGGTGCCAATGCTGATATTGACAATTTAGACTTCTAGGGACCCTCAAGAGTCCATTTTGTTGGTCTGCGACTGATTCTCGGACACTCGCAGACTTTCAGGAATGGTTAGTGCCAATGGAAACAATCATATTTTTGACTTCTAGGGACCTTTAAGAGTCCATTTCATTGGCCTGCAGCGTATTGTTGGACACTCGCAGACTTTCAGGAAAGTTTGTTGCCAATAGAGATGATGGCAATTTTTACTTCTAGGGACCCGCCAGAGTCCATTTTTATGGTCTGCGACTGATTCTGGGACATTCGCAGACTTTCAGGAATCTGTGGTGTCAATGGAGATAATGACATTTTTTACTTCTAGCGAACCACCAGAGTTCATTTCGCTGGTCTGCGACTGATTTTGGGACACTTGCAGACTTTCAGGAATTTTGATGCCAATGGAGATAATGACATTTCTGACTTTTAGGGAACCGCCAGAGTACATTTCTTGGGTCTGCGACTGATTCTTTGAGACTCGCAGACTTTCAGGATGTTTAGTGCCATTGCAGATCATGACATTTTTACTTTTAAGGACCCCTTTTAGTCATAAGCAGAGCATTTTTACTCTAAAATGTCATTATCTGCATTAGCACCAAAAATTCCTGAAAGTCTGCAAGTGCCCAGTTATCAGTCGCAGACCAACGAAATAGACTCTGGATGGTCAAAAATGTTAAAATTGTAATTATCTCTGTTGGCACCAAAAATTCCTGAAAGTCTGTGACTGTCCAAAAATAAGTCGCAGACCAAAAAAATGGACCCTGGATGGTCCCTAGAAGTAAAAATGTCAATATCTGCCTTGACATCAAAAATTCCTGAAAGTCTGTGAGTGCCTCAAAATCAGTCGCAGACCAAAAAAATGGCTTCAGGAAGGTTCCAATAAGTCAGAAATATCATTTTCTGTATTGAAACCAAAATTCCTGAAAGTCTGCCAGTGACTCTGAATCAGTCGCAGACCAACGAAATAGACTCAGGAGGGTACTTTTGAAGTAAAAATGTCATTATCTCCATTGGCACCGAAAATTTCTGAAAGTCTGCGAGTGTTCCAGAAACATTCGCAAACCAACCAAATGGATGGTCCTAAAAATACACAAATGTCAGTATCTGCATTAACACCAAAAAATCCTGGAAGCCTGCGTCGTCCCAGAATTAGTCGGAGACACTTGAGGATCCCGTAGAAGTCAAAAATGTCATTATCTGCATTGGCACTAAATATTTCAGAAAGTCTACGAGTGCAAAATAATCAGTTGCAGACCAACGAAATTTATACTTTATTTAAGAATGCCCTGCTAGTTTGCAAAGACAGCTCATCATTCCGGCAGAACATTTTTACACTCATTTTCAGAATGCTTTCTGGATTGCCTAGCCAGCTGAGCATTTTTAACACTATATTTAGGAATGCCCTGCGAGATTGCTTAGCCAGCTGAGCATACCAGCAGAGCATATTTCGTACTATATTTTGGAATGTCCTGCTAGATTGCTTAGCCAGCTGAGCATAACAGCAGAGTATTTTTAAACTATATTTAGTAATGCCCCGCTAGATTGCTTAGCCAGCTGATCATAACAGCAGAGAATATTTACACTGTATTTTGGAATGCCCCGCTTGATTGCTTAGCCAGCTGAGCATAACAGCAGAGCATTTTTACATTATATTTTGTAATGCCCCGCTAGATTGCTTACCCAGCTGAGCATAACAGCAGAGCATTTTTACACTATATTATGGAATGCCCCGCTAGATTGCTTAGCCAGCTGAGCGTAACAGCTAAGCATTTTTACACTATATTTAGGAATGCCCCGCTAGATTGCTTAGCCAGCTGAGTATAACAGCAGAGTATTTTTACACTATATTTTGGAATACCCTGCTAGATTGCTTAGCCAGCTGAGCATAACAGCAGAGCTTTTTACACTTTATTTTGGAATGCCCTGCTAGATTGCCTAGCTAGCTAGGTATAACAGCAGAGAATTTTTACACTTTATTTTGGAATGCCCCGCTAGATTGCCTACCCAGCTAGGTATAACAGCAGAGCTTTTTACACTTTATTTTGGAATGCCCCGCTAGATTGCCTAGCCAGCTAGGTATAACAGCAGAGTATTTTTACACTATATTTAGGAATGCCCTGCTAGATTGCTTAGCCAGCTGAGCATACCAGCAGATCATTTTGTACACTATATTTTGGAATGCCCCGCTAGATTGCTTAGCCAGCTGAGCATACCAGCAGAGCATTTTTACGCTATATTTTGGAATGCCCCGCTAGATTGCCTAGCCAGCTAAGCATACCAGCAGAGTATTTTTACACTCTATTTAGGAATGGCCTGCTAGATTGATTACCCAGCTGAGCATACCAGCAATGCATTTCTACACTTCATTTTGGAATGCTCTGCTAGATTGATTACCCAGCTGAGCATAACAGCAGATCATTGATTTCCCTATATAAATCGTAATGCCTTTTTGCTTAGCTCACTGTTAACTGCTAACTTCTCACATACTTTTTTATTAATCTCTCAGACCACCTATGGAAGAAAAAAGTGTTTTATTTTAATTATATAATTATTGTAGTTATTTATTTACTAAATAATGCCAAATTTAATAGCAAATATGATACCAGATATTTTCAAAGTTTAATAAAATAAAAACTAAACGGTAAAAGTATTTTATATTTGCAGACCAACCCAATAATACATTAAAGAAAATTTAGGCAAACTTTGAAAATAGCCCCCTCATTTTGGAAAAAATTTTAGGGATATTTTAAATAAGGCTTTTTACAAAGGGAAATGGTCAAATTAGTGTTAAAAGTGGGTGGGTAGGGTTACTTTTATACAATCATTTGCTTTTTTAATTTTTACCTTATATGTCATTGTTTAATTCGTAACAATGAGCAAAAGGAAAAAACATTTTTCATAATGATGATATTATAGATTATTTAGAGTTTTCCTACATTTCTGTAAAAATCCCTTCTAATGGCAAAGTTTTAGTTCATAAAAATGTCCATAACTCATAAACCACACGGTAAATTTTGTTTAAATTTTGCAAACAGGTGACATTTAAGGCATATAACTGTCCTATGTTGTCAAATTTACAATTCCTTATAGTGCCCATTAGGGGTGTACTACCTTAATGTGACACATAATTATCCCGGTGGGCTATTATTGCAGGGTTAATATACAATGTTTTCAAACATTTACATCGACACATACTTATGCCCGTGGGCTATTATTACTTATAAGAATATAGCTGATTCTTTCATTCCACGTTGCGTCATAAAAAAACGGTTACTACATGCTTTTTACGTGCCAGGTCATTTGACAGTTAGCTAGTTTTACACCAAGATTTTCAAGATTTTATTATTCACTCAATACACAATACATGTAAATATGAGGACACCGAGCCCTGTGTTATGCATATTACAAATAAGCATAGACAGCGTGTGCTTGCGTGATTTTATCCACTACTCCGTTTATGTATAATACATACCGGTGCACGCGTTTTTTTATGCAATAATTTGATTTATAGTAACTCACTTGATAAACCTCAAAATCACTTCAGTTTAAAAACGACGGCTCTTCCATGATTAAGCATTATTTTTTTTAAATATGCATGGGACGTTAAGGTTAAATTCTATTTGTTTTTTTTATCGTCATGCCGTGGAAATATCCTTTGTCAACCTACCATTATTTGTAATTCGATATTCCCCGTTGCACAATGCATTTGTGCATTATTAAACATTGACTTCGATAAAACATAATCCATTTCATTTACAAGGCAGTTTAGACAAATGACAGACATTTTCAGGTTGGATAACAGTAATAAAGGTCGTTATAAAAGTAAATACAATCGTTGTTAGATTGGAGGCCTTTGCAAGAGGAATCCGTTTTAGTTTTTTATCATACACAAAAAGGACATAGTATTTCTATATGCAACAATGAGAAGTTAGTTTCAGGTAGGAACTTTATTTAATTAATCGTTTTCGTAAACGTTTCTTTTTTTATAATTTTATAAAGTTTATACTATATCTTAACTTCTTTTGCTTGATAGGAGAATACATGAGAACACCGACTTTGTTTGTATTGCAAACAATACAATTTATAATCTAAAAGCAGATATAACAGTCATAAATTTTTTTAAAAGAATAACAATAATTTTTGGAACCTTTGGATGCTTTTGATAGTTCGAAATCACTAAAAAGACGCAGCATTTCATCTAAGTTCAGATTTATTTTTTTATTTGGCTTTTGACATTTTACACCCTGTTTTTGTTTACAATTTACAATAAGTTCCTACTTTTTTGAAGTAATATTGAATTTCATTCTTTTATGTCTGAGTAAAATAAATGACTATGCAGAATTTTTTCTATGGGTTTGGTTTTGTTTGAGTAAAGAGAATTGTTAATAAATGAAATATCTTAACTTAAAAAAAAATGGACAAGAAAGAAATCATTTGTTCTATTTTTGGAAAAAAGTACGTATTCAATCAGCAAATTTAAATATCGCCATCCTTTGCAGAAATACTTTTTATCCGTATTAATTAAACTCCTAGATTATTATGAATGATCGTTGAGGCGTTGAGGCGTTGAGGCACTCCGATTGTTCCATATTGATTGTACTGCTTATTTTCGATTCCGAAAGGATAAACTGAATAAACGCCCCCCCCCCCACCGCCTCCCAAAAAAGTCAACAACAACAACAACAAAAAAAACAAACAACAACAGAAACAACACAAAACAAAGACCAAAATAAAACAAAAACGTTTAAAGCAAGTCTCTGAAATGCACTTTATGCCAACATATTCTCTTTTTATTAATAAAATGTAGAATAATGATGCAGTGTAACCGGGACTCGAACACTGGAATGAGTTAACACATAAAAATCTGGTAGAAACTACATTGAAATTGTAAAATATAAAATCCGACGACTTCCTTTCACAGTTAAAATAACGACTTTTGAAACTTTCGAGTACATGTATTTTGTCTTATTTTCTAAAGTTACACAATCATTATAAACATATTATGATATCATTTTCTGCCATATTGTAAGATTGGATGTTCAAATTTCATTTTTAAATACATATAGCGCACAAAGCTATATATTTACAAAATGCAGTGTTTATATTTCGAAAAAAAAAAAAAAAAAAAAAAAAAAACGTTTTGCATATTGACTTTGTTAGCGCAGCTGACGTATGCACAAATTCATTGATCGTCCACAATATTATAGAAACAACATAATTCGTCTTGTTATTAATATACTGAAAATATTTTATCTTATAGCTTTACACCTTTTAATATTGCATATCTGTTTAATCAATATCAATTGTAAAATTGCGATTTCTACTAAAATCATTTTAAGATATGAAGATCATTTTAGTGCTTTGTCTGAAGTATAAATGATTGTAATTCTAAACTTTCTGTTGTGACCCTTTGCGCCAATTCTGTCCGTAAATATTTCGGATATTAAGAGGCCTCGTACGTAGAATATGAAATACTCGCCAATGCCAACGTTTAAAGGCAGTATTCGTTCGCGATAAAGTAACAATTGACATAACCCTCAGTATTTAGAGTATTTCTCTTCATGATTCCTTCTTCTATTTCTTTTTTAATTGACCCCAATCCCCTAATAATATTGATGAAAAACAATAAATAATAATTTGATTTTGAAATTTTGCAACTGACATAATAACATAAACAAACAAAATGGCGGAATCATGTTACAAAAGAGGTTACAATATGTTGCCTTATTAGGTCGGAGGTCTAAAATAAATTTTTATTATGTAAAGCACTATTTTACTGGTAACATACAATCAAACATAGATTTTATGTCAATCAAATTGTGCTGGTATACCAACATAATAATCTGAGAAACATATGATTTAACCAAGCAAATTGGACACATTATTTGTGTTCTTTGACATTACTAAGAGTTCACATTATTTCTGCACAAACCTAACTCGAAGAAATAAACCATCAATGGTTAACCAAGTATTACTGCGTTTTTTTTTTCTTTTAGAATACTTCTTGGTTGAATTGATATGCGATATTGTAAATCATACTGTGCATTGGAAATACCCTATCGATCCTCCCATATAATCTCCCTTATTTCTATTTCTGTACTTTCAGTTGCATACCTTCTACTTTTTTTGCATTGATCAGTTGCGTTTTGGTAGTCATAACAAATGGCAGATAATTGTTACCGTGGATTACATAATCTTTAAATTTATATTCGGACAATGTATCTTTACTTAATTAATTCTTCTATTCAAAACTAATTAATTTGGATGTTAATTCAAATTGAGGCAATTAATTTATGAAAAATTGATTTATAGCAATGGCGGCAACTTCAATGAAACAACATTTATATTGTTTCCTTAGGTTCATAAAGGACATGTTCTGTGTGTATGGATCGAGGTCTAGTTTCAAGCAAATGCACATATAAGAGGTATCAATTTCAGGTAAATAAATTTTTTAAATCATTTCTCGTATTAACATCTTTTTAAGTCTTGATAATTTTTCCAAATTACATGGCTGATAAACATGTTGTAAAATTGATATCTACACTTAACCTGCTTTGTTTGCATTGCATGAAACACAATCAGTCAGGTAAAAGCAGAAAAAAACATAGTTCCATTATTGACAAGTAAAATTTGAAAAGTTTTAATTAAATCAGAAAATCTAAAATATCATAGAATATCATATTCTTTATCTTTAGTATCATTTTTTTAACTCTTTTTATGTTTAAGGTATGTATGTATGTATGTATGTATGTATTTGATATTTGTCTACATCATTTGTGAAGTTTTTTTTGGTACATCATTATTTCCTGACAAAGCCTTTGTTTTGTCGGAAGCGAATTGATCGCATAATTACTCTACTTCTTTTACTTTGAATACATAAAACAAGCATGATTAACGCAAGTCTCTGGAATATATTTCATTTAAACATATTCCAAACTCTTTGTAGCCTAACCGATACTCGAAAACAGGACTTGGCAATACATATTGTACTTTTCATTAAGAAGTTTATTGGTTAACAATACCTTTTTATTGCTTTATATGTATTTATTTATTATCACGGTCTATCCCTATTATGCAAAGTATTTGACATGTATTGTAATTTCATTATTTAACCGATTGAATCGAACTCGACACACGCAAGCACGTACACACGCACATACATACGTACGTACGTATATATGTACGTACGTCTGTACATACCATTTAAATCGTTATTTCTACTGTTGCTTTTTTTGTTTTTTAATAACAAATGTTTTTAGTCCCCTACCGGTTTACCGGAGGGGACTTTTGGTTTACCCTCCGTCCGTCTGTCTGTCCGTCCGTCAGTCCGTCCGTCTGTCCGTCCGTCAGTCTGTCCGTCCACAAAACTGGATCCCGCGATAACGCAAAAAGTACTGAAAATATTTTAATGAAACTTGATATATGGATAGATGGCAGTATGGAGATTATGCAAGTCTTTTTCTTTTCTTCCTATGTTGAAAATTCTGGTTGCTATGGCAACAAATAGACTGAAAATATGGCAAATTTTACACATAACCTGGATCCCGCGATAACACAAAAGTACTGAAAATATTTTTTTATGAAACTTGATATATGGATAGATGGCAGTATGGAGATTATGCACGTCTTTTTCTTTCTTCTTATGTTGAAAATTCTGGTTGCTATGGCAACAAATAGACTGAAAATATGGCAAATTTTACACATAACCTGGATCCAGTGATAACACAAAAAGTACTGAAAATATGATTATGAAACTTGACATATGGGTAGATGGCAGTATGGAAATTATGCACATCCTTTTTCTTATCTTCCTATGTTGAAAATTCTGGTTGCTATGGCAACAAATAGACTGAATTTCAAGATTTCTGATTCTAGTTTTTAAGTTTTTTCACTATAAGTTCTTTATTTCTTAAGGTATTTTCTTCAAACTTTTAAATATAAGTTGCTTGTCATCAACCACATCATATGTGACAAGGTTTTACAACTCTAGCACAAAATTTATCAGAATTACCTCCTTGAACTTAAAATTTTCATGAAAAAAACATTGTTTTTTTTAATAACTTCTTTTTCTGAATGTATCTACTTCAAACTTCATATAAATGTTTCTTATTATCACTCAACATTTGTGAGTGTTCAATACTCTAGCAAGACTATTTTCAGAATTATGCCCCTTTTGAACTTAGACTTTTTTTTGAGAAATTGGTAATGTTTACTCCCACTTCTTCAATCATGATCGATCGAACAAAATGTTTGTTATATGTATTTATTCAATGTTTTTTAGTCAAATTTTCAATTAAATTGATGAAAAAAGAGTCACTTGTTCTTTTTTGTATTCACCATTTGTGAAAAATAACTCCAATATTTACACACAAAAACCCTGTTTTTAGGCTAAAAAGAGGGACTGATTGGACAATCCCTTTTTATTTTGGAACGAGATATAGGATTTTGAAAATGTTATATTTTGATAACAGGGATGTTTAAAAAATAACTTTAGAGTGTCCTTCAGTCCGTCTGTCCTGTACATAAAAACTGTTTCCTGTGATCACTATTTCAACAAATTTACTTAAAATAGGAACGTAAGTGAATGGCCAATGGCCCTTCAGAATGTTGCTTGGGCTCTTACCGGTAGGGGACTTATGGATTGCTTGCAAAACTATGATAATTGCTTGTATTTATATGTCATGAAAACAAGCGTTTCCATGATAAAGATCTGTTTTGTTTCTGAACTTAAAGGATTATCATTTTAACTTAACCATTAATATACCTTGAATAATAATTCTTAGAATGACATTTTTATGAAGTGTTGACACCGAAATGCAATTTCGTGTAGTGATACGCTGCTATGATTTAAACGCGTCATATAAAAATGGCCTACTTTCGGTTTATATAACATGGTTTCATTGATTTATTCTTGTGTAAACGATTCGAAAATCTTTATCACATAATATGCAATACAAAAATATTACCTTTGAATACAAATAAAAAAAGGAAACCGAAGAAATAAATCACTCCCATATCAAATCACTGCTATTGTGTTGATGTCGCACATCCGTTTAACCTATATCTTTTAATTTAGGCACATAGCAATGATTTGTACGCAGACACATACATGTATTTTATCTATTACAAAATCCAAATTTAGCAGCTATTTTCAATTTGAAATGTTTCTTTGATTTAAAAAAATAGTTTTCAATTTATGAAATTGTATAGATCATTATAGAGATTTAAAGTATATTGTTTAATTCGATATCTTAAAATTATGTAAATATTGAAATACCTCTCCACCAAAAAACAATTGCTTTTCAAAGTTATAAAACTGCAGTAAATTACACTTTCTATTTTACTTCTGTCGTATCACTTGAAAACTCATAAAAATTTTAATTTGGATTAAAGTTGTTTCTTTAACATTGAAACATGGTTATTTTTTTATCCTGAAATCTATAAACGATTTGTTCAAGGACATTGTACAATGGTTGCGAACAATGCATAATGTCATAATAGATCTCATATTATTTGACAACGAAATCCAAAACCCGTAAACTAAATAACTGTTAAATAGCTTTTATGCAACAAGACATATATACACAGCTTAACGAAACATGATATGAATGATAAAAGGTAAAAAAGTTTGTTTTAAATAATAATACTTTAGCGAGTTTACATTAGCATTGTTTTGAACAGTGTTTATGAAAAGAAGGGTCAAGAAAATAAAATGTTTACATTTTATATATTAAAGCGTCAACCGCACTGGATTTGTTGAGCTCTATTGGTTATTTTTTAAACCGAAACTGTAAAACCTTCTATTTATTTACCCTTATGACGTGTATGAAATAAATTGTTAGACATTTTTGGGTACGTGTAACAAGACGCCAATGCGTATTTCAATGTACGTGTAACAAGACGCCAATGCGTATTCCAAAGTTGGTAGAAGTTAATCAAATAATCATGATATAAACATTTGTTTTGTCTATTATTTTTCAGATTGAGTTATGCTTTGAACAATCGTTATAATGATAATATACCTCGTCAAAACCCATATATAAAGAAAATGTCCAATTTATTACAAACATATTTCCAGTAGTATCAAAGTCAGTTAATCAATCATTTATTATTTTACATTTATATGCAAAATTATTTCCTGTCTGCAACTTGGCGTTTGTTGCAAAAAGGAAGAGAGTCGACTATATGGAATTCATCGGTATATTGTTTCAAAATTAGTAACATTCATTCATTATTCTTATATTCATTTCAAATATTGTAGAGTAATTTGGACCCTATAAATCAGATTTTGCAGCGAACCATTGCCTATATTCATAAACAATTTTCAAATTAAGTGTTTTTGACCGTAAAAAAGAATACAAAATATAATTCAGTCACTTTAGAAAATTATTTCCACTGTCTTACCTTATTCATCATAGAAATAAATTGCATATGTCTGCAATCAATGACATATATTCTTAATTATACGTTGTATCATTTATTCATATCAATTTACATAGATTAATATACTGAGAGAACAATGTATAACCATATAAGACACGTCATGTCCAAATCCTTTTATTTTCAAACGAGTTTGTGATTCTTTTTTAACTGGTAACATGCTATTATGTCCGTTATAAATAATTAAGACAATACATTGTTTTTATTTTCTTTAACATCGACATTATAGGCATTTTAAAAATATGTTTAACGGACCTAAATGATATCGCAATACTACATTTAAGCTGTGAATACGATAACTTATTGGTACACTAAAACATTTAAGCTGTTGTGTTTTTATAATCGTTATACAGATCATTTGAAAGAATATTTTCCTTGATTATTTCTCATAATAAGTTAATATGATGACACAAATGAAAAATAACAAAGGCAAAAAAACGTGTTTGAAAAGGAAATAATGACCATCTTGATTACAATAGAGACAACTGACTATGTTTTGTTAGTCTTATAGTATTATTTAAAACAGTGTACACGTAAGACTTGCAATTTCAATTGCATTAAATACATGAACTTGATGATATTTTCATAATTATAGATATAGACAATAGAAGTACAATTAAATGCCTCACGTCGTGAGAGAAAATGTTGCTTTACAGCTATATGTTTAAGCTACAAAACTCATATCGTCAACCTGCAGCTTTGAATTGAACGTTTTAGCTTCGTTTAGTATCGTTCATCTCCGCCACACATCATTTCATTAAGGTAAACATTTTTGCCGTCAGAATCATTTAAAAAAATTACAATAAAAACAATAAAAAACAACGACATATTAAACACAGTTTTGAATTTCACCTTTAGTTCTGTCGAAATCATTTCGAGGGGTCAACGCGAAACTAGTCTATGTGACATTTTTTCATAAAAGGTCTTTTTTACAGATTCTGAAAAGTCTATATAGTCCTCACATTATGTGCTAAAATCTTCCTTTTCCTATGCATAGTTAAGGACACAAAACATATTTGCCATACTATTGTATCTCAAAAGGCTATATTTGCTCAATGCGAAACTAGTCTATCTGCAAAAAATTTGCACATAGGCTAGTTTCGCATTAATATTTACATCTCTTTTTAAGTCAAGTAGCCTATGTGAAGGAATTTATATCAGTTTTTCTATACAATTGCATTATTTCAATAGGTACATTAATTCAGATCGTTAAAAATAGTAAAACAACCTTAAAAAATTATTCCAAATCACACACTTTAGTTGGTAATGGCTTGCATTGAAATTTTGTTTGAATCAATATTGAATAATTTTTAAAATTTGTTCAATTCAGGCATTATATTTCTTTAATTATGATTTTTTTAACTAGTAAGCAAACTGCAAACTAGTGTTAAGAATCAATGGAAACAACAAATTTGAGTTATTTTCAGTGTTTGTCCGTCAGTCCACATACCAAATTTCCTGAATAACTTAACGAAAAACTTTTGATCTCTTCATAAAAATGTTTAGTGGAGAAATATTTATTTCCTACTAATAATTTCTATGAATTATTGAGCTTACTCCTTAATTATAGCATAATTTGCTGTCCTACTTTTTCGACAGCGGTAAATCGTTTCAGCAGTTATTTGCATATTGCCCAATAATATACTTGGATAACTAAATTTGAAATTGAAAAGGCTAAATATGGAAGTTTTTAAGATATCCCAACAAAGTATGGGAGTTTCATAGGATCAAATTTTTGTACTATTTTTTTGGCTGTTATTCGGTAGAGGACACTTGCGCGTTTGTAACCGACGAAATCCCATGTGTAGATGACATAGCTCTAAACTTGCCTATGGCCCGTCCGTCGCAAAAATGAACATTAAACTTAATATCTGAGATCATGTCACACAGAAATTTCACTCAGCCTGAGAATATAGAACCAACACCCCTCCATAATAAATCAAATGCTTGACTGAAATTGCCTTTTGATTTGTATTCAAGATATTTTTCATCCGATTAACCTTGAAATAACTAGAAATGTGTGCAATTTTAGCCATATTCTACTTTTTTCTCAGTGTAAGGAAGTCTGACATGACAGCGGACAGCATAACAAGCAAGGGCAAATCAAAATGACTCCATCCTCTTGAACTGGGTACACAGTCCAACAACTTACTTGACAGAATGTAAAAGATATTGATTGAGTGACATACAAATATTACCTAAGTCATGAATGAAATTTTTGGTCGCAAGAGTAAATGACAAACCATATAAAACTTGCATGGTATATGTTAAAAATTTTAACACATAGTCTTGCAAAACACAGTTAACTAACCTAATTCTAACGTATTGCTTCCATAAATTCTTGCCACTAGTTTGCCTTTGAAAGTATTTCATCTTTGGGAACATGAGTTCCATTAATATTAACATGCTTATCATATCAGTTTGAATAATACGTGTATACCATTATCCAAGAACTTTCTTGTTAAGCTTCTTCACCCATATGCGAGAAGGGCCTGACATAGTTGTGGAAATGAGTTCTGTCAGGTCAATGCTGTGATTTTGTTTCTGATATTGCTAGGAGAGGGGGGTATTCACTTAAGTGACAAAATCCATAAAATCATGATATTTCAGCAGTTTTCTATTTCTGAATTAATTTTAACATCATTATAGCAAATCAATGTTTACATACACATGTACATTTGTTTCTGGTTTGAAGAACTATCATGTTCTTTTCTCTAGTCCAAAGCAGATAGAATACATTATTTATTTGGGTTACATCTCCCCAAGATTAGAAATGCAAGATTCATCGATGATTTGTTGCATTGTGATATGCCTAGTCCTAGATGTATGCATTAAAACGAAATTTTAAATGGCACAGTGGGTTGACTGCTTTTCATTCTTAGGTCTTATATTTCAAATAAAAAATGTCGAGCTGTAATAGTGGCTGAGTCGGTCTTGTTATTGTTGGGAATGTGAAAAATCTTGACTGCAGTCCCAAATGCAAACAATTTAAAAGTTTGAAACTTTGAATATTTGCTTATCAATGTAAGATTCCATTGTGACACAAGGGGCATTAATCTAAAAGCTATATATTTGGTGTCAGATGCCCCTTTTTAACATACAATTTTTATTAAAATTGCTCATTAAGTTTAATGATTTAAAGACCATCTAAGGTTTCAATATGAAACTTGGAACACTTGCATATCATATCAAAAGAAAGAAGCATTATCCTGCAAGCAAAATGTTTAGGAGGAATGCCCCTTTTCAACTTCGAAATTCTATTAGTTATGTTCCCTCATTTGATAGAAATTCTATATAGCAAAATAAAATTTCTTTCTTCATCAAAAGTGAGCTGAATGACATGGTATGGTGCACAGATTCATCAAAGACTGGTTAACAGGCTTCTGTGAACTGCGCCATTTTAAGATGACAGCCATTGCTGTCTGGGAGAGGAGTGGGGGAAGAAGGGGATGGTCCTTTACTAAATTACCTTTGTATTTAAAAAAATATTTGAAGACGACTTGCATTTGTCTTGTCTGCTTGTAAGTAAGAAGTAAAATTGTCATATTGTAGGATTAAGGATAACATTTGTCATATCCTATTAAGAATTAATAAACAGTAGTTTGTGAAACCAAGTCATGTAATTAATACTGATTTCTATGATACAGATATTATATAAAATATAAGTAATGTTTCTATTGTTTGCACTGTATGAGTTTAATTAACATTAATCAAATTATAAAATAATTCTTTTCAAGCCTGAACTGAATTTCATACATTCATATCCTAAACATCACTTAGACTAGTTTCGCACAAAATTTCTTGTCATTTTTTTTCACAAAATTCAGGGCGAAACTAGTCTATGTGAATTTTTCATCAGATCATTAAAAAACTGTTTTTCTATCATATATTGTTATTATAACATACCCTGATGCACTAGTGTGCTTTTTTAATAAAATCACATAGAATAGTTTCGCATTCAATCATTAAGCCATATATGACAATATTCTGGCGCAAAATTATTCTATGTGACATTTCTTACTAAAACATCATTTTTAATGAACAGATTATCAAAACTGAAATAAGTATGGTTGAAGTTCTCTTAAATACATACTATATCTATATAACATTGAAAAATTCTGAAAATGTAATGAATAAGAAAGTTCTTTCCATCTCCTGAACATTTTTAAAAAATGCACAAAGACTAGTTTCGCGTTGAGCCCTCGTTTTGAGCTACTAACCAGAAACGCATGCATCACATATTGTTCTATGATGGAGCGGACAGATTTGTAACATACGAAAATAACAAAGGTAATTCGATATATGTGGTTGTTTTGTACGATTTATTTATATATACATTTTCATTAAACGTTATACTGAATTCTACATTGAAATGTTTGATTCAATTTTCAGAAATAAAACAATTATAAACACGTGATCACGACACAGTCACAGACGAAAGATTTTGTTAGCAGGGTAATATATTTTGAATACCATCATTTCATTTCACATTAAACCTCACAGGGTAATGAAGACTATTTTTGTTTAAGATGCTTAAGCTTGGTTGATTTTTCTTTATTGTATTTTACTTTGATTTTACTTGATAATAAGGGATCTACCATTTTGTTATCTACTAGATACTTTCAAGTTATTTTTATAAATCAATAATTGTCAATTATTTAATAAAGCATACCCTTTTTCACCCTTTTTAGGTCTTATAAGATAAGTGAGTCTTGAAACAAGAATATAACTTCCACAAATGATGGATTCGTTGTTAAAAAAAGACGGTTTTTTGAACTGGATGAAAAGTCATATGGCAATGAATTTGACAAAACAGGGAATAGAATCCACTTTGGAAGACGATTTAAATAAGTTCATCCAAACAGCCCTCACAAAGCACAAGATAAATAAAAGTTCCATTTGCAACTCATGTACGACTGAACTTATTTTGAGCTGTCCAACGAAAAACTTTTGTGACAAGGGACGTCAAAATAGATGTGTTTCCCATAGTTCAACGATTCAAGGAGAGGTACCTGGAAGAAAATGTGCAAAGGACATTTGCCATCATATCCGAGACGAAATACGAAAACAGCACAGACAGATACCTAATTGGAAAAGTACAGACGCAACAAGATGGTGCACCGACTTAGTCGAAATAGCGAAATGTTTTGTGCCTCCTACAAATCGTTACAGAAATGCCAAGAGTCTTAAAGATGTGGATTTTAATGGGTATCTTTCCATACTTATATGTAAGAAAAGTTTTGGACGCACAATGCCAAATCTGCTCCGTGAGAAAGTAAATAAGGTCACTAAGGTAATCTTTACATTGTATTTCTTTTTAAAGAGTTTCTTAACCGTTCATATGAAAGCATTGGCTATAACAATTAGTGAATTATCTGGTGAATACAGGTATATTGCACACAAAACACAATATAACAATCGGCCTTTGACAAAAACATAACATTTAGCATAACTTCCAATTAATGAAATTACAAAGTGTCAATGTGTTGAATTTTTTTATTAACATTACTACAATAATTGTGTTTTATTTTAGATGCGTGATATGGGCAATGATATTAGACATTCTGGAGATTTGATTGTTTCACGAACAAACCTAGAAACTTATATTGACAGTTTGATAAGTCTTCTTTCCGATGCTGAATGTTTGGCTCATAACGAAACAGCACAAGAAGCAGTGAAACAGCTTAACTTGGTTGGTGAATTGCATGACGTTCAATTAAACATTGTATAAACATTGAACATATCTTCAATGGCGTGTATTTGAAATTTTAATTCTGCACGTTTGTAAGGTCAATTTTCATTGGACAATGAGGGCGATAAATAGCTACTGAAAAATTATGTTATATTTTATAGTTATCAAAGAAGTGAAGTAGATTTTTTTTAAAGATCCTGTAACTCAATTTTATAGGTTTTTTTATCATAAATATATTGCTCTAATGAAGATTTATCAATATTGTAAGTTCCAAAAACCATTCTTTGTAAAGATATTACCGAATTTACATTACATGTTAATAAAGGTAGGTCATTTGAAATTTATTTTCTATAAAGTCTTAGATATTTTTTCAATAAGAAATTTATATATTTTAATGATTATGGACAAATATTTGCAGTACATACTTTACATATTCTTCGGTGTTTGAAAATTGTTGAAGAAGCATAATAATATACATATATAGAATTTCACTTAAGTCCTTAATTTCAACATACAGGATCTCTAAAATCTTACGTTAAAAACTTTACATATACAAAGGTCAACATATTTAAAGCTTAATTTACGAAGCTATACGTGTATTTTGAAGTGTTACATAAAATTCGAGCCAATATAATGATTTTGTTTTTCATTTTTCAGCTGAAGAAGAATGAAATAACTGTTCATGTGGAAGATCTAAATAAAGCGTTAGAGACCGCCGGTGAAGAAATAGATTCTTCCACTGGAAAGGAAAAAGAAATGCAGAATAAAGAAGATGCGATGCAGATACCGCGTAAATTGATAAACGACATTAAATCGGAGGTAGCCAACAAAGAAACTCTACCACTTGCACAACTAGATTACATAGTCACAATAAAGTTGCAGGCTCTTATAAAAATGAAAGAAGAAATTAAAAGTGAAGTAGTCGATGAAATTCTCCGAAAGGGAATTGGTAAGCTATGTTGATTTTTGTCAAACTGACGAGATATACATTGCAATGTTGGTTTGACCGTGTTTATACATGCCTATGTATATGAGTTAATAACGTCCTCACAACGATTTATGTGTATTATGCTTACCAATAAATTTCTTTGTTGTTAAACCGATTTAAGTCATATCTCGGCATCCGGTCCACCTGCTCGGCTTTCCCAAAAAATTCACAAGTATTTGATGTATTTTGTGCAAGTGAACTACTTATAATTAATCCCATATGATTTATAAATCAACGGTGTGAGACAATATTCATAAAACTTAATGTCCCAGATCAGTAGTCATTGAGAAAGTTTTCTAAGCTAGACTACAAACCCAATTTGTTTTGCTATATAAGTAATTTATGATAAAATAAAGAAAAACGAATCTATTTATCAATTCTTCTTGTTTCGCATTTACAGCAAATGATTTTCCTCAGCAAGCCTATGGTTTTGATATACTTTCCTGTTTGAAGTACAAACGCCTTTGTAAAAGTAAGTGCTGTTAACTGTTGTTCAAAAATGTTTGAATTTGTTTCTTAAGACGCATATTTCTTTTGTTCTGAAAGATTATAACCATAATTTTTTATTATATTTAATGTACTTGCAAATTAAAAAAAAAAGAACATAGTTTATAAACTTGTATCATAAAGTACAACCCGACGTTCTGTCTTTAACATTGCTGTTAACAACAAGCTTAGAAACACTAGATAAATAAAAGAATACCGATTAAGAGCTAAACGTTCTTACTAAATGTAAATTTAGAATATCTTTTTGACGAATGATCTTATTTTCTTGTGCTTTTGTTTTAATGAACGTGCTTCAGTTACTTCAGTTTAGAAATTGTTTCAGCTTACAAAATTGTGTCTATAATTTCAGGGTTACGCCATGATTTAGTAAAATTTTACAAACGTTCCCAAGGAACATTACCTATCTCTCCGTTGGTAATAGAAAATGATGTTCCGCTTGAAGAAGTTTACGTGCAGCCAACAATCAGATCAATAGAAATAACAAATGCATTCCTAGATGCAAATAATGCTTCATCTAAAAATGAAATATGTTCATACAAAGATATTTTCTTTTCCGGTAAACAACCGTATACAGAAGTTTATGTCATTGCAAAGGCGGGGATCGGAAAGACCTCATTTGTAAAAAAGGTTTGCTTGACATGGTGCCAGGCACATTTACCGGTTATTAAGGCAGCAATGTTTTATCAAACGGAAGATCTTACATCTTTGAAGATGTTTGATTTTATTGTTTTTTTATATCTTTAAAAGAAACAGATACAAATGAGTGCCATATAAATAAAATGATATACCACATGTTGCAAAAAAGCATGCCTGACCCTAACATTTACAGCAGAAGATTTTTGGACAAAATATTGCTCGAAAAGAATGTGTTGATTATACTTGATGGGTTGGATGAATGGATGCATCCAGAAAACTGCAAACACAAGGGTGATGTTATTCCCCATCGACGACATTGGCCAAACTGTACAATCCTCACTACAACACGTCCATGGAAACTTTATTCATCAAAAATTCAAAACAGTCAAATCGATATGCTATATGAGCTTCTTGAATTCGACGAGACAAAATCAAACCAGTTATTAGCTTCGGCCGTAAGCTATTTAATAGAGCGTATAGGACTTCAAAAAAGGTAGAAGACTTTCGAACCGCTGTGTCATCTACAAAAATTGATGCTTTAATGTCCATACCTTACATATTTTTACAGTTGATTTGCCTATGGTTCGACGACTATACAATAGGAAATTCTCAATGTCAGATCTATAGCAACACTATAGAACTCAATCTTGTTCGAGGTAAGAGCTTTACAGACGTGACTGTCACAGAAACTGCCTCAAATGAAAGTGTAAATCATCCTGTGTGCTTGTCAGCAAATAAAGAGTGTTTGCATCACTACCAGCAACTTTTAAGGCTTGGGAAATTAGCATTTGAAACACTTACCAGTGGGAGAAACGAATCAGCACTTCTTTTTGAGGACCATATAGTGGACAAATTTATCTCAACCGATGAACAAAGCCTTTTCCTTAACAAAGGATTGTTATCCCAGAATAAAGACTATACAAAGATTTCAGGTAGGAAAAGTAACTTTTCGTTTCAGCATAAAACCATTCAAGAATATTTCGCTGCACTGTATATTCATGCGAGTACATGCAATCCAGATTTAAAAAAGAGTCTTCTTACGGAGTACAGTACATTGGAATCCATTTTGCAGCTGTCAAATATGTTTGTATTCCTGGGTGGCTTTAGTCCTGTGGCTTATGAGAATATTGCAGATTTACAGAGGTCTATAATGTCAACAGACGAAACAATAAGTCGCTACAGGTGCCGTTTATCTGGAAGAACGTCATTACCAGAGTATCGAAAATGTTGGGAAGTTGTAAAGTCGTTTCAGTCTATGCAGACTGATATCTTACAAGAAATGTTGAGAAACAATCATCGAGACTTTTACTTATATCTAGAGGATATTGTATTAGATAATTCAATTACTAACAAAAGGTTCAAAACACTCGTAAAGATCATCCGGAAAAATATACAGATAATATCAAATCATTAAGTATAGAGCAAAGTAGGTCAACAAAAGAAGTGTCAGATAGACTCTTAAAAATTGATCTTCCAAATTTGAAATGCCTTCAGAAGATAGAAGTTATTGCTACGCCACCAAAACATGATCTTGAACAATTATTGACAAACTCTGAAAAAACATTAAAATGCCTCGACTTATGTTTTGCAAACTTTATCGATGGACAATACCTCACAAAGTATACAAAACTTCCCCGTGAGATTATAAGAACAGTATTTGGCATGGATCTTTTGACGTCATTACGCCTAAATAGCATTCGTTTATCTCATACAGACATTCAAGATTTACTTGCTCACATAAATGGAAAGTCAGAAATGACAGAGGTTGGGTTGTGTCATATTGTATGTGAAGATTCGGACCACAGCGGAGAATGTGGCGTATTAGATCTTTCAAGACATAAGAATCTGCAGACGTTACGGCTTGGCAACATACCTATCTCAACACTAAGAGTCAATCCTTCTGTTTTAAACATGTGTTATACTGGAAAACTTTCAACCAATGTTCACAAGGAATTGGAAGGCAGTCTGCCAAATGCAGCAAATCTTGACACGCTACGCTTAAAGAACCTTTCAAAAGAACAGGTATCCCTCTACGCGGCGGGAACCTTTACAAAGTTGACGCAAATAAAAAGTTTTGCAATTGAATATGCTGATTTTAGTGATAGAAAATTCGTCTTAGCTCCTGAAATGAGAAGTCTTGAACGTGTACATCTTTACGAGGTAACATTAACCACTCATGCACTTCAAGAGTTAATTCGTAGCGTCGACAACCTTTCTAAAGCCGTTCTTATTATAATAGAAAGTTGCGATATTATACCTTCATGCTGCTTAACATACCATATGATAACAAACAAGATCAGAAAGTCAACCAAGTATAGGGTAAGGTTCGACAGCAAGAAAAAGTTTTCATTCGAAACAGGTAAGGATTATGATAGTTTTAGGTAGCCACCACATTTGTATTCAGGAAATAATATTTAAGGTAAAACTATATGTGCCGTTTTTGTCTGAATACATATTGAATATAAATACAAATATTTTCAATTTATGATCAATATTTTAATGATAAAAATGGTTGTGTAAATAATAGGAACAAAAAATGTAACGAGCAGGAGCACACAATGTTAAAATACAATTTATTTAATTAAACTTGTTAATCCATCACATTGGCGTCAATGTTATGGTACTGTAAATGTATAAATTATTTTTAGTCTGAAATATACATCATCTTCATGAGATGATATAGAAAAGTAATTCTTTTTTGTATAATTTTCAGGATATGTAAATTTCGAGGCAAAGGACACTTGGGTTAGTGGGCTGTTTATGGTAGCTGGACTGGTTGTTGCTATCCTCGGAGTCTTAGTTATGTTTCTTTTCGTTATCTAATGAACAGTTTGAATTGTTGTGCTTCTCTTATTCTAGATTTATTAGTATATATATACAAAACATATGACCATTCAGTCGGAGCACATACACATTTACATAGTTTGTATTTAGTTTAAAGAAAATAAATACAATTTTTAAAAAACAACAGTTACTATAGCGTTTCAATTTAATTAATAAGAAACGTCTCGAATAACCGAATCCATAATTGCCGATAAAGAAAACACGGTGTTTACACCATGAATGTTTAGTTTTGCCCACATTTCAGTCCTCATTATCATTATCACTAACTAACTAACTAACTAACTAACTAACTAACTAACTCACTCACTCACTCACTAACTAACTACTTACTAACTTACTAATTAACAGGAAATATTCTTTAATTTTAAAAACATTCTTCATTGGAACATGTGATTCAAAACAAACCTAAGAATATTGCATGAACGAGTTGCCAAAGCTGAAAAATTGAAACATTTTAATTGAACTAAAGCCGTCACGGTGAGTACAAAACATAAGATACAAGTTGATATAAATAAAGGAATAACATTGTTTATGAATAAATATTACATTTGAATATTTTTCAATGATCATAATTCTGGATCGGTCCCTGTAACAAGTAATATTATAAGCCATATAAAAATTTATGAAATTTTAAACGCTTTCATTGCAAGTGTCCAACATTTTATAAATTTATAGCTCTCATGTCAACAATAAAAAAAAAGATAGCTGTTACCGAGATCTGTTTCTCTTGTATATAAAAGGAATTGTATAATGCAACAAGAAAATTATTATAGATAAGTAAAGAAATTTCGTTATATAAATATATGTGTCTTAAGTTAATGAATCATTCCTTGTCATAATTTTATTTTTAATCGTAAATTTTCGTTTGAAACAACCTCTTCTGTTGATTACTTTATGACAATTACTGAAAAAATTTATGTCCATATGTTTTTTTTTTGTTTATTTTTTTGTTGTTTCTGTTTACTCTGTATATTGAATTTATATAGGCTATATGCATTTCTTATTTGTATAAGTATGTTTTATGCTGAATAAATTCTCGACTGGTATTTCGTGTTCGTTTAAAATGAAAATGCATTGTTATATTGAAATGTATTTGATGCTGTATGTTATTAACTTACCCTTCATGTACAGACTCTGTCAAACCGAGTCTGCAGTTTTCATGTTATTTTGTTGTCATAAATGTTTCCGAGGGATCACTCTTCTTCCAGATTTTTATCATGTATATATATTGTGAATAAAGATTCTACTACTTTTTGTTATAAATATAATATAAATATTGAATAATTTTCTATGATTACATCTGAAATAAGTTATTAAATTTGTGGCAATTATGACTTGTAATCAAAAGTACTGTTACAGTATTTACTGTTTAAACTATTAATATTGATTTTTTCAGTTTCAGTTTTATGGTATTTTTTAGCTTATACTAATTTTCAGTATCTCGTTACGTATAGCAAATGTAATAAAAAAAACAAGAACCACCGGCTGGGGTGACTCGGTGGACTTTTTCTTTTTCTTATTTCTACAATTACACAAAATGAAGAAAGTTATAGTAAAGAGCGCTCCTACGAAAGATAATTTTCCTTTCACAAAATAAAACTCAAATTTTATATTTGACCTAGTCAATGGCTTTCAAAGGTCAAGGTCACATTTGTCATCTCAGTGTAGAAATAAGTGCTCTTTTTTCACTTCAAGTATGAATCAAACATATAATCTATAACTAAGGTATTATACTCTTGGTAAATAACTTGACCTAGAGAGCCAATATCAATTGAAGGTCAATGTGAAATCAGAATAATTAAATAGATTTCTACGTGGCATGGCCGTTTGTTTTTGTATCGGCGATTTGTTATTTATGTGTATAAATTGTATCAATTTTCATAAAAAACAGCAATATTCTCGAGGCAACTACTTAAAACCCAATTGATTGATTTCGATCGTAGCTGATTCGGTTAGTCCGAGTTTGGAGGGTCTTCATTATAACAATGAAACGCCTTAGCACTACCAAAAGCAAACTATCCGTGATATTTCCGTGTGGAATGATAGTTCTTTTTTGTACCGGCGTTTTGTTCTTTCTGTATATTAAGTTAACCGATTTGCGAAATAAAATTTCGAGCTTTATGTATATAAGTTCTATAAGATTTAATAAAATATACACCATTTTCTTGAGTCAGCCATTTAAACACCCATATTTGTTTCTAGTGCAGATTCAATATTGTATAATTTTGGAGGGTGTTCTTTACACACTATAAAGTCCAAAGCCCTAACACTAGAAATATGTACGTGAGATTTCCGCATGGAATGGTCAGCGATTTGTTCTTTTTGCTTATAAATTGTATAAATTTTCGGAAAAAAGCCTTTTTCCATAACCACTCGTTTCAATACCATTTGTCTGATGCGGATTCGATTTTGTACAAGTTGGCAGTTTTTTTTGCTCAATATATAGCCTTAAGCCATAACCCAAGAAATATGTCCTGGAGTTGTCATGGTCACTTTTTAGACCAGAGATTTGTTCTTTGTGTAGATAAATTGTATAAATTTTCGGAAAATACACCATATTCCAGAGCCAATCTTTTAAACACATTTTGTCTGATTCCAATGCGGATTCGATTTTGTACAAGTTTGAAGGATTTTCTTTGCGCAATGACCTAAAGAAAGAAATTTTTCCTAGAGATTTCCGCGAATTATGGTCGTTTTTGGACCGCCGATTTGCATTGTCTCTCTCTATAACCGTAAATCGACTGAAAAAGCAACATCTTAGAGACAGCATTATTCTAAAACAGTTTACATTATTTTAAAACTTTATAATTATGAAAGTAAATTTAGAGCGACAATAGGAAAAAGCACTTTAGAGAACGTTCTTATATGAATGAGGTCATGCACAGTTATTTATTGGATAATGAAAGGCTACGTACTTAAACAAAATGTAATTATCTCGTTGATTATATTAGTTTAGATGATCTTCTTCACAGCAATTTAAGGTTCAAAGCTCTACCGCAAGAAAAGTTATAGGTAGAGGTCCCAGACAGAAAGTCGCTTTTTGGACCCTCAGTTTGGATGATCTCATTTGTACAAGTATTAGTGCGACAACGGTCCAAAAAGGAATGGATTTTTATCCTGTACAAGCACACTTTCAGGTTTCCGGTTTCTTCTTGTATTATGTTGTCTGCATCATAAACGAGTGCTAAGGAATGACCTAACAATCCTCACAAAGAAATGATGGGAGATGCGTTGGTTTAAATGTTAGGGTGGGCACCCTTATAAATTTGCTAAATGTAAAGATTCCGTTAAATGCAATCAGATCACCTCGAGCAAACAGGACATTTCGACCCTAATCAAATCGGCTCTTAGCAACTGCTAGTCCCAAAACTGCGTGAAATCGTGGTATTATGAGTTTTTGGTGTATTTTGTTATCTAAAGGAAAATATAGTCCTTTTTGTAAAATTATTACATGTTTTTGTATCTAAGAAAAATAGTTGTTTGTGGAATGTTTTTAATCTTTTCCTGATGGTACTATATTTACCAGGATTGGAAGGAATGTAAGAATTGACTGGCCCACCAACAAATTATATGGGATCAATCCAGCGCGAAATTGTAATTTGTTTTAGACACAGACAGTCACAATGAAACCATAATACAATTAATGGCCCCTGTGACCTTCATCTATGACCTTGTAACCCCAAAACCAATAGGGGTCATCTTCAAGTTATGAGAGATTATGATGTGAAATATGAAGACATTGTGATAAATAGATTTTAAGATGATCGGCGGAAACATGTGGTCTACTGACGGACAGACCTACCGAGCGACGTAAGCAAAACAATATATATCCCTTTCCTTTGAAAGGGACCATAAAAATATACATAATGTCACATTTAGAACATTGACATAATTTTTTTAATATAAGAATTTTTGAAATGCACAATCACTTGAAATGCATAAAAACTTCAATCAAATGAGGGCATCATTTGGATATTTTCCAGCAATTGGAGGGGGGGGGGGGAGTGTGTGAGAATGTGCAAGCAAATGAGTCAAACTAAATATATTATGCTTTTCGTGTCATCATGCCAGATGAAATTTACGGCATTGGTAAAACTAATGGAAATACCAGTCTGATATGAAAGAAAATCCCGTCTGATGCAAGAATATTGATAATTATTCTTTTTACTAATATTGAATCCTTTCTTTCTACTTAATATTTATCAGCCTTATCCCACTGCTGTATGCACTATGCAACTAAGAATATACAAAAAGGTACAACCATTTTAAGACTTGTTCAAAACACTAGCTGTTACAACAATTACATAGGTGGAAGTAGTTTAACCTTCACAGCACAGAAAGTCACAATGAAAGCATAGTTCAGCCATCGCATTGTTCCTGAGCAGACTGCCAAGCAGCTTACCGGTACTTTTTGCATTCGCTTAAAATTGCAAGGTGCTAATAACGACAGTACATGCTAGGTCCAAGATACTCTCCGAATAAAAGAAGAAAGGATTTCAAAATCAATTACGGTGAAAATGACTCCACCAGCCGGAATTAGAACTCACAATTTCAAGCATGCACATGTGTTTTATATCGACCTGGACTGATTCCACCCTCTATTGTCTTCATTATCTTGCAGACGCTTAAATATGTAAGTAAATTGTTGATCAATCGTTGTTTACATTTTCAATATTCATAGATAATCAACCAGGGAACCACCGCAAAAATTAATACTTATTATCGTACCTTTCCTACATTACATATACCATTAAAATTCAAAGGTAATCAAATCAAGAAACATCATAAAACAAGTTTGAAAAGTTAAGAGTAATTCTCGACAGGAAATACGAGTTGTGATTCAATACAAATGATGTGTACTTTTTAAGGGGCGGTAACTTTTCCATTTTCGCTTCAACTAGGACCTTTTTTTTCTTAAATCAAGATTTTATATATTGGGGTTACAAGGTCATAGATGAAGGTCACAGGGGCCATTAATTGTATTATGGTTTCCGCTCATTATATTAAAAACTGTTTGTCACAAAATCTTCATATTTCACATATTGTTTTGTCACACTAGTAGATGATCCCTATTGAATTTGGAGTCACTAGGTCAAATGTCTAGGTCACAAGGGCCTTTAATTTTACAAAGGTTTCCGCTCATTATCTTGCAAAAGTATTTATCACAAAGTCTACATATTTCACTTATTGATTGGTCATATAAGGTAGATGTGTGTTTACCTCACCTGTAAAACCTACAGGTTAACGAATAAGTAACATATTGTTGTGGGGAAAGTCGTGTTATTTAAAAGCTTTATTCTTGAGATTTGATTTTCATCTTGTATCTTCTTTATTTTTAAACATTTTTAAATTATACTCCAGGTTCCAGATATGCGGGTTGTTAATTTATATCTTCAAGTTATCTAATTTATAGCTTGTGTGGTGTTTTATCTTTGTACACTTCATTATACACAATGCTTTTTATGTTACTAACTGTTAACCTGATATTCATGTCTTTAACATTAGAGATTCGTACAACAATTACCAAATAAAATTTGAGAACAATATATGCATGTATATCAGAACATATTTCCGTCTTCCCAGATGGTACCAAATATGACATGTGGCTAAACTCCTGTTGCCACACATAATCTACGTAACATCAAAGTTACACTCTAAAATGTCTTAAAGTTTATTTATAACAAAAATTATATGGTTTCGCGTAATGACACATAACTGTTAATGTAAAACACACTTTGAAATCATATCACAGTTCATGATTAGTTCACTTAAAAGAGTCTCATCATTTTCTAGAACTGTTCAATTGATTTCGCGTACAAATTTAAAGTAAGTATAAATCCTGTTTATAGACTTGTTTTTGCACTTTAAATAATTATCAAATATCACTATATTTTAAAACTTTCTGTGAA